AGGTCACACAGCAAGGAAGTGGTGGGACTGGAGTCTAACCCAAGTCCGTCCTGGGAACCACGAGACTCTCCAGGATGCCAAGTGTGCCTGCCCACAGTGGTCAGGGCTCTGAGACCCTTCAACAGGACACTTGTGTGGGGCAGACGAAGAAGACCAACATCCCCGAGGAGGTGACATGTGTGACCTAAGGGATGAGGAAGGCCAGCCATGCCGAGAGCAGGAGGGACGAGGGCAAGGAGTCAAAGCCACGTGCTCCCAGGACTGAGAGGTGTGGCTGCTCGGGGTTAGGCCCCGAGATGGAAACAGGTTTTTGGGGCTGGAATTTCCATTCTTTGGAGGATCCTCTTTAAGAAAATGAATAGCTAATCATGAGCACAGAATCGCTCCAGCCTCTCCTTGGGCCTTGAAAACCCCAAAGGTTAAGCTTCATCAGCCATGGAAAATGTGTCACTGGTCAGAAGTGGGTATTACTGGGTTGCCAAATGTCTATTAATACCCTAGACATATATATACACACACACACACGGACACACAGAGCAGAGACAGTGACACAGACACAGACACACACACACACAGCACAGAGACAGGGACACAGACACCCAGAGACACACACACACACACTTAGACACTCAGAGACAGACACACACACAGACACCTAGAGACACAGACACTCAGAGACAGACACACACAGATACCTAGAGACATAAACACACACACAGACACCTAGAGACAGACTCACACACAGACATTCAGAGACAAAGACATACACACAGACACCCAGAGACACAGACACAAATGCAGACACCAAGAGGCACAGACATGCACACAGCAGAGACAGTGCCATACACACACACAGTACAGAGACAGTGACACATACACACAGACACCCAGAGATACAGACACACACACAGACACACACACACCGAGCAGAGCATTTATGTTTTGAATAAATGACTAAATAAACTTTCGTTACTGTTACTACCAATAATAATAATATTCACTGAGTGCCAGCCAACACTTACCACATGCCAGGCAGTTTTAAGAACTTATTTACCCTTCACTACAACCCAATAAAGGAGGTACTATCATTATCCCCATTGTACAGAGGAAAAGGAGGCTCAGACTGGCTAAGCAACTCCCCCAAGGTCACACAGCAGGAAGCAGACCCGGGCAGCTAGGCTTGGAGTCCACACTCTGAACCATTCCAGGAGTGCACCTGCTGTCTAAGATGGCAGTGATGACATCAGACACACTCTCCTCCCCACCCTAGGGTTCAAATTCTGGAAGGGGAGACGGTCACTAAAGCAAGACGTCTGTAAATTACATCATGGGTTACAAAGTGATCAAAGTGTGGGGGGAAACACAACAAGGAAGCAGACAGGGACCATGGGGCTGAGATTGTAGGTAGGTGACCAGGGAAGGCCTCATAGAGGTGACATCTGAGCAAAGGAAGGAGGTGAAGGAGGGATGCTGGCAACACAGAGGTGGGTCGGAGCCAGCATACCCCGAAAAGAACTGCCGGGGTCGGGGGTTGACATCTGGGTAAACAGAGGATCTCAATCCAGAGTGGGAAGGGCTGAGAAGGAAAGGCCAGGGGCCTGCAGAAGCACCTAAGGACTCGCCAAGGTAGCCTGAGGACGCAGAACGGGGGCTTCCTGGAGGAGGTTATGCCAGAGAATCACTAAACTTTGATGCAACGACGGGTCGGAGTTAGGCAGGACAAGGGAGGGTGGGATAAGAAGCAGAGGTTGGAGGGTGAAGTGGGAAGGGTGCCCAGGCAGAAGGCACGGCAGGGACAAAGGCCCAAGGCAGGAAGCAGCCTGGTCTGTTGGGAAAGCACAGACAGTGAGGGAGGGACGGGGATGCGGACAGGTGAACAGAGGACCAGGATCGAACCTCGAAGGACCATGAACACCAGACTGAGGGATGGGACTTTGTTCTGAGGGTGCTGGGCCACTGGAGGGACAGAGTCAGCTCCAGGTGCAAGGAGACCCCTGAGGCTGGGAGGGTCCGGACTGGAGGGGAGAGACAGGAGCCGGGAAGGAGACTGGAGCTAGGGTCCAGGTGGGAGAAGGTTAAGTCCTGAACTGCTGTGGCTGCGAGGATGCAGACGAGGGAATAGAGCGGGGAGATGGAAAGAGCAGGGGCGTCAGGGTTGAGAGCTGACAGGCTGTGGGAGGTGAAGGAAGGAGGGGTGCCCAGGGTCTGGCCTGGTGATTGGGTTGTTGCCACTGTTTGAATCATTTATTTGTTCAGAAAGGGACATCAACAGACACATCCACTGAAACAGGATGCAATGGAGGGGTCCCCAGGGCACTGTGGGAGGGGCAGGTGGCACCCACACTTCAGGAGAGCTCAGGAACTGATGTCAGGATGCTTCACGTTTCCTCTCATGCAGCACACACAGAGGCACCACGTGCCTGTGCCAGGACCCAGGCTGGGCGATGCTGGGACCCAGAGCTGAGTTCAACATGAGCCTGCCTGCTGGGGAAGACACACAGGACCCCAGACATCTCGAGCCAGGGCCCAGGGCTGGGGCGGGATCAGGGCTGGCAGAGGCCCAGAGGGCTACAGAGCCCAAAGGAACAGTCAGAGGTGGGAGCAAACCAGAAGAGTCATGTCCCAGAAATCCAAGAGGAGCATGTCTCAAAGAGCCTAGAGGCCACACCTCTGCCATCTGCTGCCAAAGCTGCCGGAGGTGGAGGAGCTGAGTGGAATGGGAGGGTGCAGACTGGAGCAGGGCTTGCATGTGTCAATATCGACTGTGCCTGCCTACTGGACAACCTGGCAAATAACAGAACCCTCACTGGCCTGCTTCCTGGCCTGTCCAAGGGGATTAATAAATCTAGAGCAGCGACGTTCAACCTTTTCCATCTGTTGGCACACATAAACTAATTACTAATTGCTAAATTACTAAAAACTACATACCAAAAAGGTATACTATATTTTCTGCGATCTGACCAAAAACTAGGTATAATTATGACTCACTCACACCGGATGGCTATTGTGTTGACTGTTGCCTTTTTTTTTTTTTTTTTTAAATTTGACAGTCTAAGGGAAAAGAAGTCAGTGCCCCTGACTAAACAGTCAGGTATTGCGTGTTTTTAAACTTCTTGCGGCACACGCTGGTTGAAAATCGCTGATCTAGAGGGTATTGAAAGGACTAAATAAATGGGTTAATCTCAACCAAGAACTTAGCATGCTGCCTGGTGAACAGATAAGTGCCCACCAAATGTGAGCTTTGAAGATAACTGAAGTTTTCATGCCAGAGCCTGGCTCCTGGGCCCTCCTCCCCACCCACATACCCCAACTTGGCAGGGGCCCCACTTTCATCCCCCCTGAGGCCTCCAGCATGCCAGGTCCTGTGTGGGGCAATGCTGGGGACAGGGAGGCAGGGATGGGCAGTCACCACCTCCTCTGTTTAGGCCAAGTACCGAAAGAAAGTGGCCTGTGGGAGTGTGTCTGATTCACCTCTGTCCACACCAGCTTCTCTCTGGGGGGCAAGCCAGGCTCTCAGAGGCATCCCCAAACCGTCTCATGGAGCATGTGAGCCATTCCACCAACTCATCAGACTGGCTTTTGTCTGCAGCAAACACTTTTCCCCTCCCTTCCAGCTGTGTAGGGTGAAACGGAGCTTCTGGGTTCCCCCAGCGCCCTGTCTGAGCTCCATCCGAGCGCGTTCCCTGTGCGGGAACTGTCAGTGGAGTTTGCAATGCAGCCTAGTGGGTGAAAGAAAGTATGGCTTGTGTGCCAAGCCCTCCTTGGGGTGAGGAGTCGGACGGACCTGGATAGGAATCTTGGCTCTGCCCCTTCCCGGCTCAGTGACCTCTCTGTGCCTCAGTTTCTCCGTGTGTTAAACAGGGAACACGACTCCTCCAGCAGGTAAGAAATTGAGACGGTAACTCGCCCTGCACGCAATTATTAAGACGGTGAGTTCAGAACCGGGGAAAAGGAAATGGGATCAGAACCCTCGAGGGGCGCTCGGATGTCAGAACCTCACAGTCCTTGATCTTTGCCCTCGGGTGTGACTTGGACATTTAGGGGGAAAGAGCAGAGATCAAAGGTTACGAGAAGACCCTCCCATACAGGGTGCGCTCGTGACCCCGGAAGCATAAGGCCGCGGGGCACAGAGAGGTGGGAGAGGGGGGCCCGGTCACCTTCACGGCGAAGTCGATGACCCTCTTGACAGCCACAAGCGCGCGCAGCTCCGCCATCTTCCTCCCGCGGCCACCTGCAGGGTCAGGCCGCACCCTCCGCCTCTGGGTCCCGACGTCCCGCCTCCCATCTTTCTCTGCGCCTGCGTCCCGGCCGCCAGCCAGTCAACCTCTACGGTGCCCGCCTCCGCCCCAACAAAGGACCAATTGGAAGGCCGGAATGAGGGAGGTGTGTCAAGCAGATGCGGACCAATGGGAAGTGAACTTCAGAGAGAGAGGCGTAACCGGGGGTGGTGGTGAGGGACAAGGGCTTTGGGAAGGGGGCGTGGCAGGGAACTAGGGGAAAGGTCGTTCGCGGCTGGGAGGGAGGCGCTCTTGGAGCGGAGCTCCTCCGGATCATCCTAAACTTTCCCTAGCGTCCTCGGGTCTACCTCTGCCCCCAGTTCCTCGCCTCTCACAGTCGCACCCCGTACCGATGCCCCCATGTCTCTGTCTCCACATTTTCTCCATGCACAAGCCCCAAACCCTCTCCATGCGGCCCGGCCCCTCCTGACTCCACTCCCCCGTGCTCCTGTTCCCCTCCACACCCATGTCCTTTGTCCACTCCATGTTGGTGTCTCCATGCCCGTGTCCCCCAGGTCTCCGGGTCCCCTATAGGTTCATGTCTTTATTTCCTCCCTGAGCCTCTATGTACCCCCGAGTCCGAGTCCCGGAGCTCTTCCTGGTGATATCCCCACGTGTGTTCTTGTCGCCCGTGTCCGAGTTCTCACATCCCCCAGAAAGGCAGACGGAGACGCGGCAGTGGAAGCTAAGCTGTTGCTTTATTCTGCCCCAGGCAGGCTGCAGTCACAAGCACACGGGGAACCCACTGATGGCGTCTGTACTCTGCAGAATCATATCCGCCAGCAGAAAGCAGAAGGCTGACGGGAGGGGACAGGAGGGCGGGTGGAGAGCGGTGGGTCCTGGGGCGGATGGCCGCAGGGGCCCCGGGCATGGGGTTTGGGGCTCTAAGGGCATCTTTGCCAGGTTGTGAAAGTCTGGAGTGGAGTATGTGGGGGAGTTCCCGGGAGGCCAAAGTGGTGTTTCCTGGCTGGGCAGCTGGGGAGTCTCTGCCGGGAGGAGGGTCCCCGGGGTATTTTCCTCCACCCTCTTCCCGCTGTCCAAGTTACCCGCGATAACATAGAGTGGAAAAGCCAGCCATGCCGAAAAATAGGACCAGGAGAAAAAGACGTCGCTTTTCCACGCATTCTTCGCGGTGTAGCTGATCAAAGCGATCAGCAGCAGCAAGCCTGGCCCGGTCCACCCGCCAGGTAAGCTTGGCCGGGGGGGCTTCACCCAGGCCCCAACCAGACCACGCCCACCGTCCAGACCACGCCCCGTCTGGCCCGCCCAGCTCCAGCAGACCACGCCCATTTTCTCCGGGTCCCGCCACCTCCAGCTCCGTTCCTTCCTCTGGGTCACTAGCCCCTCTCCTCTGCTCACTTGGTGCCCCAAATCGCGACCTGCGGACCTGCCTGGGGCCCTGCCTGGGGCCCTGCTGCTGTCTCACCGCAGAGGAGGAAGATAGCGCTCGTAGTCTGGCCTCGAGTGTCGCCATCGTGATACACAATCCGCAGCCCCAGCACCAAGCCGACGATGCCGAAGGCCGCCGCCAGCACCATGCACGCCTGGGTCACCGCCAGCACCGCTGGGGAAAGCGGGCGCCTCAGCCCCGCGCAGGCCCCGCCTCTGGCCACCACCCACCAGTACAGGGCTGGCTGCAGAGTAGGGGTTTGGATAGGGACTTGGAAATTGACGTGAGGGGTTGTCGTGTGGTGGTGGCCTCAGTCACGGAGGGGCAGCTGGATCTGAGATTGGAGTGGAAGGGGTGGGGTGGGAGCCCCACAAGATGTGCCCAGCTGTTGTGTCAGGGGAGGGGACCAGCTGTGGTCAATCCTGGGACTGTCTGTGTAGTGGGAATCTGACATCTGGACGGGCTGGGCCTCACACTCGCAGGGGACGTTAGTGCAGATGCCACCGATACAATCTTGCCACAGGCCACTGTGTCCCTTGGGGAAGCGGATCCAGTAGTTGGCAGCAGAGGAGAGAATCGTGAGGATGTTGGCCAAGAAGCCCAGCAGGGTGCCCCCGCACTGAAGGCTCCGCTTCATCCCCATGCTAGGGCGGCTGCTAAGGGGGGCCACACACGCAGGATTGGCCCACATCCTTCCCATCCCTAGGCCCCCCTCCAGGTTCCCTGAGACCCCCTCCCACATGTCTCTCCATATCCCTGAGGGGGATACTTCTGGGGACCTGGAGATGCCCTCCCTCAGTTCCTCCCATGCTTCTGGCCCCTCCCCCAGTACCCCTGCCGCGGGGCTTTGAGACCTTCCCCCCCAGGAGTCACTGCTCTAGGACCTCCCTGCTTTCTAGAGATCTCCATCCCCCAGTGCAATGTCCCTTTGTCCTGTCCATTGTGCTCCCCACCCCCCACCCCCACACACTCACTTTAAGTGACTCACAGCCAGCTCCTAGGACTTCTTAGAAGTAGAATCCAGAGGGGTGGGGGAAGGGAGACCGGTTCAGTCTCTGTGAGGCAGCAGGAGTTCCAGAACCCCCTCTCCCAATGGCCATTTAAAGAGATAACCGCCCACCCATCTACTCACACACAGGCATCTCTCCCAACAAAGGGACAGCTCAGAGTCAGATGGCAGGTCTGGTGAGATCCCTAGGGCCATGACATGGTAGACCATGTCCTTCTAAAAACTTCTCTTCCCTTGACCTCATCGGTGCTCCTGGTCCCCAGCTCTGACTGTGCCTCCCAGGCTGCCACATGGGCTCCTGTCCCACCTGCCTCTCGCATCCTGTACCTTCTACCAGGTTAGCAGCCTCACTCCCTCCGCTCTCACAGCATCTCGGACTCCAGCTCCCACCCTGGCCTCTGTCCCCAATCTTGGCCTGGAGTCCTCACCTGCTCCTGGCCATCTCCCAGCCCCTGGCACTCAGCCACTTCTTCCACCAAACCAGAGATGACCACACCATCCCATCCCTGGGCACTATCCCTGCCCCCTTCCTGCTCCTCACCTCACAAAGCCCTTGGATCCCCAAATCTGGTTTTGACTGCTCCCTGAATCTTTCTGGCTCCTTCCCTCCTGTCCACCTCACGCCATGTTCCCAGCCAGGCCTTGTCCTGACTCCTGTCTTACCCGTTGCATCACCAAGCTCCTCTCTCCCTTTCAGCCTCTCCGGATGCCCCAGAGAGAGCTTGCTGGCTCTCATCCTGACTCCCCACACCCCGCAGCAGAAAGTCAGTTGTGGCGTTAGGGGTCCTGGCTGCCACCCAACGCTCCATCCTCATTTTCTACCCCACCCGCACCCCCACATTTCACACCCTGGCCACAAAGCACAACTTGTTTATCCTCTGAACACTTGGGCCTTTTCATGCCTCCATCTTGGAGTCCATCCTCCTAGATTAGCTTTCCTTGGCCTTCAAGAAGTCCCTAAACACCCTCTCCCAGGACAGCTCACCTCTCCCGTCCACGACACCCTTTGTCCTGCGCCCTTCCTGGGCTGTGCCTGTCCTCCGGCCTGTTTTAACACACACACACTCACACACACACACACACACACACACACCAGACTTGCAGCCCCCGGTGGGCAGGGCCTGGGTCTGACTCATGCCAGTGTTCCCATGGGGGCCCAGCAGAAGGAGTGGTGGACTAATGAACGGAGCAAAGAGAACTCGAACAGGTGAGGGACAGAGAGGGAGTGAGAAGAAAGTCCTAGAGCAAGAAAGGCACGGGAAAGCAGAGAGAAAAGAGGACACAGGAAAGAGACAGAAACAGAAGGCAGACGATGAGAAAGACACGGGCCAGAGAAGGGGAGAGGGCGTGGGCAGGGCGGTGTCCGCACCGGCCCCACACCGGGCAGGAGCCCCCCCGAGAGCAGGTGGAGGTTTCTGACTCTTTTCCGGGTGCCCAGTGTCACCCACCATCGGGTTGCGTCGTGGTTGAATTAACCTCAGAAGAACCAGATTCCGGCAAATCGTTGTTGAATGAGTGAGGAAACAAACAGAGGGGCTGTGGAAGGGCTGGGGGTGAGGGCCAAGGGAGGGCCAGGTGACCCTGTGGTCACCTGTGAATCTGATGATGCCTTTCAGACTCATCCTGCTGTCTTCACCTGCGGCTCACAAGGTGTCGTAGCCAGGCTGGGTGGCAGAGCAGTGAACAAACAGACCCAGGCCACCTGGGAGGGTAGAGGGAGGTTAGCACTTGCCCCTCCCCGCCCCACCCTGCTCCCTCAGAGCCCCCAGAGGGCCTTCCCAAGGTCCCGGGCAGCAGTCACCTGCACTCATCCAGAGGGGAACCGAAACCCAGCCCAGGTAGAAGGACCAGGAGAAGGTGGTCTGGATCTGGGACTGTTGAGGTTGGCTCCACCGTTCCCCGGTATAGACAGCCATGGCCACCATAATGGAGAGCGCTGGGACAAAAGGCAATAAGATTGTTCAGCCCCTCTGCGGGAACTCACAGTCCACTCACAGTCCCCGCAGCGTGGGCGCCGGCAGACCGGATTCCTTACCTGCAGTGAAGGCTGTGATGGATGAGACAAGGGGGCCGCGGCCCGGGGCAGACAGCGAGGGGATACAGGACAGGACCAGGAGGCCCACAGATACCAGGCCACACAGGGCAGCCAGAATGTTGAAGATCTGCGTCACGCGGATATAGCCTGCTCACAGAGGAGAACTTTGAGGGCCTGTTCGCTCCGGCTCTCCTCCCCGAACCCCCAGACAAGAGAAACCACTGCCCGTTACCTGCTACCGGGTGCTTATCCCCATTTGGCCAGAGGCCCGAATGAGATGAATCGTGAGGCCCAATGGCCACAAACCAGTAGTCCGTGCTCAGAGCCACCAGGATAGATGTCAGGGCCAGGGAGCCCGCCAGCAGGGCCAGGGGACGACAGGGCTCCATGGGGCTGAGCGCCGGCTTTCTGGGTCTTGAGAGATGAAGGGGCTGGTGATCCAGACTCCGGGGTCTCTGAGAAAAGAGGCTGTGCACCCAGACTCCTGGGTCCTCTGAGCTCAGAAATCAAAGAAGCCAGCAAGCAGTTGGGGCAACTCAGAGGGGCCCGTGCTCCTTAAGACCAGACTGGTTCTGTTTCACCAGTTCAGTTCCCGGCAACTGACTCTCACACACCCTCCCTTCCTGGGTTGAAACGAAAGTATCTCCCCTCCTCGAGCTCTTGGTGCCACTCACAGTGTGTGGTGGGGAAGGGTGTCATCATCCTCGGTTTGGTCGGTGGTTCAAAGCCTGCCTCACTGTCTCAGGTTCTATAGCCCCCACCCTCAGAGCCCTCAACACCAGAGGGGGCTTCCTGGAAGAGATGAGAGAGAGGCTTGGGGGTTCAGAGGTGGAGGTGGCAAATGAGGCCAGGGTGTGAGTTAAATGAGAGGAGGGATGTGGCCAGAGAGGACAGTTGGGGGATGTGTCATGTTTTCCTGTGGCTGAGCAACCTTTTGTTCTGTGAGCAATCTTTTGTTCTGGGGGGAGCGGGGCCCCCACTCTAGGGTCTCCCCAAAAGGAGGGGGCCGGAGGCCATGATGCCTGGGTCTGAAGGTGGAAGGCGCTCCTGAAGGAGGAAGGCGTGTGTGGGCAGGTGGCGAGCTCAGACTCCTGGATCCCTGCTTAGAGCTTATGCTCAGGCTAGGCAAAAGGTGGAGAATCGCAACTGTAAAAAGTCTGTGGCGTGGAAGACACACCCACATCCTCATCTGATAAATGAGTTCAGACAGCTCTGCTCTGAGCATGGCCAGCTTTATCATTAGGTTCATGGTACCTGGCAGGGGTGCAGGGATGTCACTACAGGACCCTCAGGCCCTCCCAACTTCTTCCTCCCACACCAACGCCAGGTCCTGGGCAGCATCTCACCTGTGAGCAGGTGTAAGGTGAAGATGCCACAGCCCAGGAGGAAGGCCTAGGCAAATGTGACCCCTATGAAGTTGGAATGGCCCTGAAGAGGACAGCCTCTGTTGTGAAGACAAACTGAGCCAGCAGGCCCAGGAGAGCTGGAGAAGGGAGAACCAGGGACCCAACAGGCCAGTCCTCTTCCTTTACTGGAGAATCCAGTTTTCAGGCTCCCAGGCTTCACCAGAGAGGTAACTGGCCACTCCTGAGAACAGGGTCACAAGGACAGGCTCCCAGAGGAGGATCCATGTCATGAGCAGTGGGGAGTAGGGGGTGGGGTATGGGCACCCGCACAAAAATAGCCGTAGACATGGCTCAGGTGAGGAGCAGCTGTAGAGGCTTCAAGAAGTCTGGACCATGGGCATGTGGTGAGGAGAAAATTAGAGCACAGAGCCCATTTGTGACCCTGGCCTCATCCCAAACTCAACCCCATCCTTAACCCCATCCCTGTCCTTCAACCCAACCCCATTCTCATTTCCAAACCGAACTCCTCAACCCCAGCTCCAACCCCAAACTCAACCCCATCCCAAATCCCTACCTATCCCCATTCTTATTTCCAAACCCAAATCTGAACTCAATCCCAACTCAACCCATCCATAACTCTGTCTCAACCCCATCCATAATTCCAGCTCCAATCCCAGCTCCATTCCCCAAACCAGCTCTTAACCCAATTCCATCCACACCCCAAACACAAACCATCCCTTAACCCCAGCTCCAATCCCTAATTTAGTACCACCCCGATTCTTATCAACCTAACCTCATTCTTATCGACAAACCCAACCCCCAACTCACCCCATCCCATTTTAAGGTTCAAGGCTGTAACCCTGTTTCTCATTTTTCTAAGTCTCACCACGGCTATTGACCCAGGAAAAGTTGCCCTTGTCTGGTCCTGGGAGGGAACCTTTTAAGACCTTGGAATGTCCTGTCTGATAAGTGTCTCTGTTTACCTGGAGCCCACGAGTCACACCAGATAGTTTATGCTACCAGCACGGTTTATTGGGGGATGGGGGGTACTATATCAATTTGACCCCTGGAAAAGCTGGAAACTGAATAACTAAGGCCAGCCACGTGGGTGCTCCCTGCCTACAAAACTGATCTCCCGTGAAAACCCTGGACATCAGAGTTCAGGGGGCTTCTCCAGTTGGCAAAACTCTGTGTGTCGTCACACACCGTTATCGGGAGGAGTAAGTGCAGTCCGTGTGACTCCACTGGGAGAGACAACAGGGGAGCTGGTGCCTGCTCTTGCCTGGATGCTGTCCTGTGAGGCTCCCCCCTTTGCAGATGTTAAACTGTACCCTTTTGCTGTAATAAATTAACTGTAAGTGTCATCGTTTTCCTGAGCTCTGTGACCCTTCTAGCAACTCACTGAGCCCAGGCGTGGTCTTGGGGACCCCTGAACTGCAGTGAGTGAGGGGGATTGAGTCAGAGAGTTAGTGGGGGGGGGCAGAACACGTGGTATTTTGTACGACCTAGACAGACTTCAGCTTTTCACCTGAGGTCAGAGCCACAGGAGGGCTTGGGGCAGGAGTGACATGATTCTAATAAATATTCCTCCAGATGCTGCATAGAGAATGAAATGTAGGTGGAAGGGGGGGCAGGGCAGGGTAAGGGTTGAGCTGGTTAGGGGGATGTGGCAATAAACCAAGTGATAAGATGACGTGGCTTGCATTAGGGTGATAAATGGTAAAGCCAGACAGAGCCAAATTCCAAGCACATTTTAAAGGTAAAGCCAACACTATTGGCTGATGAATCCAATGTGGGCTGTAACAGAGAAGACAGCCAAGAAGGATCCCAACAGGTGTGGATGGAGGAGCCAGTGCAGGTGGTGAGAAAGACCAGGAACTCGATGTCAGACATGTGGGGCCTGAGATGCCTCTTCTTTCCAAGTTGAAATGCTGAGTAAGAGGTTGGAGATACAAGTCTGGTGTTGTAACATCGCTATTGCTAGAATAAGCCTCTGTACATATGATTACTGGAGTAAACCTCAGTAAATATTTCTACTTAGGAGCCTCAGTAAAGAATTATTAGAGAAGGCCTCTCAATTGCCATTATTATTGGAAGAAGCCTCTATAAACATAGTATGATTATTAGTTGAGGAGGCTCCAATAAATATTATTTCTAGGGAGTCAGCCTCTATTAATATAACAATTAGTAGCGTAGGCTGTGATAAATATTATTAGAACTGGTCTTGCTAGATAGTCTTATTATTTTGTGATTGGCCTTCAGTAAATCTCATGGCAGGTGGCATCGGTTTATCAAATGAACGGATGAGTGAATGAAGAGAAGGTCAAGGTCATCAATAGTGTGTGAAGAGGTGAGTGAAGAAGGTGAAAGGTTAGAGTTCTGGTGTTCCTAGCTGGAGGAGCCCAAGGGGGAGGGGAGAGGAGGTTGGAAGAGCCGACTGGAGATGGAGCAGGGCAGGTGGAAAAGGAAGCTGTTTTGTTGTTGTTGTTAATCCTCACTAGAGGATATTTCTTCCACTGCTTTTTAGAGGGAGTGGGAGGGGAGGAGGGAGAGAGGTGGAGAGTCACACACACATACACATTGATGTGAGAAAGACACATCAATCAATTGCCTCTTGCATTCACCCCAACCAGAACCAGGGATCAAACCTGCAACTGAGGTACATGCCTTTGACCAGGAATCTAACCAGTGACCCTTTGGTGCCAGGGTCGATGTTCTAACTCTGAGCACACTGGCCAGGGCAGAGGCTGCTCCCCCACCCTCAATGAGCTCTTTATTTATCCTATTATCCTACTGTGATATTGTGATTTGTAATAAGAAATATATATATTTGGTCTGAGTCTTGATTATGACAGCTCCGAAACCCGCCTGGAATTTCTCCAATCATGAAAGCCATAAAGTTGCAAATGAGGTGACCTGTGGAACCCACCTAAGGATGGAAGAACGGTGACCAGAGCGTGAGAACTTTCAGTCCCAGCCCTGACCTCTGGGGAGGAGAGAGGAACCGGAGGTTGAGTTCAATCAGCAATGGCCAAGGTTTTAACCTATCACACCTCTGTAATGAAACCTCCTCAGGGAGCATCGGGGGTGGTGACAACACTTGGAGATTTGGGGAGAGTAGTGACTTTGGAGAGGATGTGGGAGCTTGAGCCCCGTCTCTTCATCTCTTCCATCAGTTTCTGAGGTGTATCCTTTTATAATAAACCGACAGTCTAGTACGTAAAATGCTTCTCTGAGTTCTGTGAACAGCTCTAGCAGATTAATGGAATCTAAAGAGGGGTCTTTGGAACCTCTGCTCTATAGCTGGTTGGTCAGCAGCACAGGTGACTAGCGATTGTAGGACTGAGCCTGTGGGATCTGATGTTATCACTAGGTAGATAATGTCCGAATTGAGCTCATTGCTTGGTGGTTTGAGGGAAAAAATTACATGTTGGAATTGGTGTCAGAATGGGACCTACATATCAGTTTCCTATAAGTCAAATTGTCACCTGTGTGGGGACTGTGTGATTTATCTCATACACCCCCAACCCCATCCACCACACTCAGCCCCACCCCTAGGGAGCCACACTGTAACCCTTTCACATCAGTTTTATTAGACTCCAAAAAAATTGCACTAATGGGTATTCCATTTCTCAAATGAACCCCCTGGCAAGTAGAGTCTTGGATCTTCTCAGCTCCCTCCCACCAGGCCCCATTCCACCGTCTCCTTCCACCGTGGGACTCAGGAGTCAGGGGTCCCCACCCAGAATCCAGGACCGAGCCCCTCATGCCCCCAGGAACCAGGATTTCAGACCTCTAGACATTCCCCCTCCTCTTCAGTGACCTCATCTTGACTTCCTGATGAAGTTGGTGGATACCTCTGCGCTCAGCGGGGAGTGGACAGGCGCCGGCACTCATGCATCCGGTAGGCACACATGTAGAAAAGTCCTGTGCCAGGAAAGGTCCCAATGGACACCCCCCAAGCCTCCACCCCAGCACCCTCTTTCTTCCCAGGTGTCCACAGGGCCTGGAGTCTGCTTTCTGTCTGGGTGCTGGGGGCCCATGTGGGACACCCTATCATCTCGCCCTTGGGAGTGTGCCCGCTCATCCCCAGACACCGCACTTCCCACCCCCAAGCCCAGGTACCTGCGAAGAAGGTCATGAGCAGGGCCACCCAGCCCAGGATGTAAGACCAGGAAAAGCGCCAGTCCCCGAAACGGCGGCCGAGGAAGCTGACGGTGACCCCAGTGTAAATGGCCAAGGCCAGCAGGATGAAAAGAGCTGGGGAGAGAGGGTGGGGATGGGAACACCGATGAGGTTGGGCTTGGAGATGGGGGTGGGAGAGACTGAGGAAAGGAGTGGGGTGGGAGGGTGGGTAGGGATGGGGATAAGGGTGAGGACAGGGTTGAGTTGAAAGTCGGAGTGCAGATGGACAAGGAGTGGGGCTGAGATGGGGATGGGGCAGGGTTGTGCTACATCACAGAGAAATGACTGGTCTTTGTCTCTGGTTCTAGGGAGAAGGACTCTAAATCCTTGGAACTTGCTGAGTGATGAGCGTCTTTGGTATTGTCGAGCGTCTGGGATCACACCTGTTGTTGAGCGGAGATGACTCAGGATTGGAGCTGGTCATGGTAAAGACCAGCCACCGGAATGGAAAGTTGGGGTTTGAGCTGGTTGATATCAGCCCCTCTGGGGAAGGGAGTGGGGAGGAGGCTGAGTTCAATCACATGGCCAGTGATTCAATCATGAAATTCCAGTCAACACTCCTGATGCCAAGTGCCTTGGAGCTTCCTGGTTGCTGAACACTTGGAAGGGTGTGCTGGGAGGGTGACTGACCCCTCGGGCTTCTCTCTTGGCATCTGTTTTTGTTTTTGTTTTTGTTTTTGTTTTTGTGTTTTTGCTGGTTCTGAGTTGATCCTTTATCATAACACTGTAATTGTAAGTATAGTGCTTTTCTGAGTTTGGTGAGTAATGCAACACATTTTTTTAACCTTAGTGGGTCCTGGAAACCCTCAAATTTGTAGCCGGTTGTCCAAAAGTGCAGATGGCTTTGGGAGCCCACTTGCAGCTGACGTAGGGGCTGTTTGTGGGGAACCCTTCCCTGACACCTGTGGGGCCTGGCGCCAACTCTGGGTGGTTGTACCAGAACTGAACTGCGGTGTCGGAATAGGTGGAATTAGAAATAGTCGTAGGGTTGGTGTTGGGCGTGGAGTTGGGATTAGGGTGGGGATGGGGTTGAAAGTGAGGAGTCAGAGATGAGAGTAGTGTTGGAGGTAGGAATGGATTGGGGTTGGAGATGGGCAGGGAGCAGGGAGAAGGGGAGGGGAGGGGGGGTCCACTCACTGGAGGCGAAAAACATGATGCCCGCAGAAAAGGGCCGGGAGAGGCGGGTGAAGGTGGGCTGCTGAGCGAAGGCCAGGATGCCCATGATGATGCCGGAGGTGGCACACAGGGAAGACAGGATCATGAAGGCCCGGGTGGCATTCCAGTATGCTGTGGGAGCACCCCATGGTCAGTCCTCGGCCTCCGCTGCCCTCGGTGGTGAAAGCTGCTTCCTCTGGGGACAGGAATGCCTTTCCCTTCTCCTATCCCTGACCCAGCTTCTCCTTCACCTCTTTGTAAGTGTCCTCCTCTTCACCTGGCAAACTCCTATCCATCCTCCAAAACCCAGCTCCCAAAGCCCCTCCTCTAGGAAGCATCCCTTTGCCATTTAGGCATCATCTTCACCCCTTACTCCTGGTTGGGACTCTCTATCTGTCTCTCCCTTCAGCCTGATTGCTCCCTGAGGTTGATTCTATGCCACGAATATCCCCAGCATAGATTTGGTTTGCCCGAGGACCTGGAGAAAGATTGCTGGACGAATGAATAAATGAATGATGCTGATTCCCCACATTGTTCTGCTAATCACTCTTTATCCTCTCTCCATTGCTCTGTTTTGTTCCCTTCACACCACTTGCTCATATCTGAAAATGCCCCATTTATTTATTTTTAAGTTGTTTATGACGTCTGTCTCTCCCCACGGAAGTCTCAGCTCTGTGAGGACAAAGGCCCTGCTTTCTCATTCACTGCTACATCCCCAGCACCTTGCGCCTGGCACAGGACACTCAATAAGCATGTTGAGTGAGAGGATGTTGAGCACTGGAGATCAATCTTCTCTCTTTCCATAAAATGTATGCTGTGTAATATACTACATCATACCTAGAGATATAGTGTATTAGATAATATATAGTATATACATACTGTACATATTTAATATATATGTATATAATATACATTGCACTATACTATTCTTATCCCCTTATTTATAATATGTATTGTAATATATACATATATACACACACACATATATACATATATGTATGTATATTACATAGCCTGGCACATAGCAAGTATAATACCTCAGCCAGTAGTTATCAAATTTTAGGGTCTGTCTTGCTTTTGTATCCCCCAGTATCTAGCCCTAGCAGAGTTTTTTTTTTTTCCAGTTACAGTTGATATTCAATATTATTTTCCATTAGTTTGTGGTGTACAACATAGTGGTAAGACATTTACATAATTTAAAAAGTGACCCCCTGATCATTCAAGTACCCATCTAGCCCCATACACAGTGATTACATTGTCATTGACTATATTCCCTATGCCGTCCTTTACATCCTATGACTACTTTGTTACTACCAACCTGTACGTCTTAAACCCCTCACCTTTTTTACCCCACCCCCAGCTCCCTTCTATTTGGTGACCATCAGTTTGTGCTCTGTGTATGAGTCTGTTTCTGTTTTGTTTGTTCATTTATTTTGTTTTTTTTTTTCGGATTCCACGTCTACGTGAAATCATATGGCATTTGTCTTTTCCTGACTTATTTCACTTAGCATATAAGGATAGTTCTTGATACTCAGTCAATACGTAGACAATGCTGTCCTGGAACCCCAGCCCCACCTGTTGTACCTGACCTCCCTTTAATGTACGACATGTTACTTCTCCCTACTCAACCCCTCCATCCACACATTCTATAATTGCACTAGGAAGAATTACTGAAAGCCCAGCTTTGCCCCTTCCATGCTGGGTGACCTTGGGTTGGTCCCTTTCCTTCTCTGAGCATCAGGTTTCTCCATCTGCAAAACAGGCGGCCCCCTGGCTGCGAGGTTCTGCCTGATGGGGCTCTGCCTGCAGCCACCGCCCAGACCTGCCCTGGAGCCTCACCAATGCTGTCCGTCTGCAGGTAGCACTTGCTGCCCAGGCAATACCGCCATAAGCCCTGGTGTGCAAAGGACCCCGACAGCCGGTACTGCATCCAGTGGTCTGTCGCTGTGGCCACCACCAGGAGGATAGTCCCAACCCAGGCGCAGAAGAGGCCGCCACTCATGAAGCTGTGCATGGTGATCTCTGGGGAAGGGGAGAGGCGGGGTCAGGAGCTGGACTCCCGGACTCTGGGGAAGGATGGGACTGGGGGCCTGGGCTCCTGAGTCCTGGGGGAAGAGGGGGCTGGGGCCTGGACTCCTAGGTCCAAGGGAGAAGGAACAGAGGACCTAGATCTCTGGGTCTGGACTTCCAGGTCCTAAGCCAGGAGGTGGGCTGGGCACTGGGACACCAAAGTCCTTGGGGGAGGAGGAGGCTGGGACCTTGAATTCTGAGATCCTAGGTGTGAAGGGGGCTAGGGGAAGGAACCCCACCAGGTACCAGGGAGAGGAAGGAGCTGGAGGACTGGATGCTCAGGTCTTGGGGTAAGAGGGTCCGCAGGTCCCATGCCTGCTCCCTACCTGAGTGGCAGAGCCTGTCCTGAGCCCTCCGCCTGCCTCGGCCCCTCTGTGCAGACTGAGCAGAGCCAGGTCGCTGGCCTCTCTGCTTCCCAGTCCCCCAAATCCCTTAAGCCTCCCCACACAATGGTTCCACGGCCCAGCAGCTTCCAGCAGGCAGAAGTGCAACGTGGCAGAGGCCCCGAATGGAATTCGCTGAGACAGGGATCCAGGCGCTCCGTCCCCGCAGCCCCTGGCCCTGCGGGCCCCTCTCTGTGACCCTCCCAACCACTCTCCCACCCTCTGCCAGGCCTTGCTCACAGCACCCACCGGGTCCGCCTGAGCTGCGTAAGCACACACACGGACACAAGACATAGGGACACTCATCCATTTATTGTTCAACCACGGCCCCCACCCCCAAAGGCCAGAGACAGGGTGGGGTCTGGGTATACTGAGCCCGGGGGCTTCTTGGTGGATGAGATCACAGGGCAGTCACAGTTGGGGCCAGGACAGGAAGGAGGCTGAGGATGAGATGGGGCTGGCTGGGTTTGGGGCTGGGTTTAGGATGATGTTAAGGATGAGGTTAGGCTGGCTTGAAGTAGGTGGGGAAAGAGGATGAAGAAGCTGGGAGTGCGGTGGGTTCAGTGGCCACTGGGACAGAGACAGGAATGAATGGGCTTGTGAATACGGTAGTGAGAAAGGAGATGGGATGGGGTTGCAGAGGCAGGTACATGGCTTTGGGATTAAGAATGGGGTCAGGGTCAGGTTGGGTTGAGCATGAGCTGAGGGTTGTTGCTATAGATGGGGAGAGGCAGTGGGTATGAGGTGCCAGGCTTTTTCTGGCTTGAGATCCCGTCAGGTCCAGGGAACTCCCAGGCCCCGCTGCAGAGGCCGTGGTTTTGGGGTGAAGAGGGATGGGGTATTTCTAACAGGACTGAGGTCACCCCTAGGCTCCAGGGAAACCCTCATAGTGACTCTGAGTGGCCCTGTCTGGACTCCGTGGTGCTGGGGCCTCAGGGTCCTAGTACTCGGTGTCCCAGTCCTCAGAGACAGGTGGGGTGGCCAGGGGTGGCTCCGGACCTCGGGTTTCCTTCTTCCCATCTTGAGTAGGCAGTGTTGGTGATAACGACGGCATCGTGGGTGGGGTCCTGGGGCCAGCCCCAGAATCCCCGGCCCAGAGCTTGTTTGGCTGCTCAGACCTCCCAGGTCCCCATCGCCGCTGGCCCCGGCCCCAGCCTGACCGTCGAGGGACGTCCCAGTCCCCTCGTCCCCTGAATGACCTCCTGGCAGGGCGAGGCTGGGAGTCACAAGCGTGGGGGTTGCAGGTGCAGGAAGGCAGGGACTCTTGAAGGTTACAGGCCCCGAGCAAGGCACTGTGCAGGAGGTAGGAGAGGGCATCCAGGCGGATGGGAACGGTGACAGAGGCCACGCTCTCAGGGAGCCCCAGGTGCGCTGGGCCTGAGGTGCCCAGGAGAGAAGGTGGCAGGGTTGGGAAAGGCCCAGTCCCAGGTGACGGCAGAGACAGGTTGTTCCTGGAATGGCAAGAGGACAGGTCAGCGGGTCTCACCGTCTGCATATTGTCCCTAGTGCAGCCTGGCTGCCCCTGCTTCTCCCGGGGGCCACCTCTCGTCCTGACTTCTGCGTCCTCCTCGGACGCCCTCGCCCCCTTCTCCCTGACACTCTCTCCACCTCTCTTTCTCTCCAGGTGTCACTTTACAGAGAGACAGGCAGCTGGGCCAGAACGTACGTCCCCCTCGGGGAGAACTCAGTTCCAGGCTGCCCAGCTCGCTCAAGGTGTGTCTCAGGCCAAATCACTTTCCCACTGGGAACCTCAGCTTTTCATACCTAGAGAGGCCTTCTGGTGGGGCCAACGGTGCCCAGTGAAGGGCTGGGTCTGGGAAGTGTTCAAGAAGTGTAGGCAACTATTATTATTTCTCCAGTCTGATGGCTGTTCCAGGCATTTTCCATTCTCCTGGCTCGTTCTGGCCATTTCTCTCTGTTCCCCGAATACTGTCTCTCTAGCTCTCTCCCCGGTTCTCTCTCGCTCAACTCTGTCGCCCGGATCCTTTGAGAGTCTGTTTCCACGTGGTGATGCCTGAGATTTTTTTCCCTCCGATACTGTCTCTGGGTCTCTGTCCTCCCCCAGGGGGGGCTTGAGTCTCTCACCCTTCCGGCCCTGTCTCTTCCTTCTGCTGCTCCATCTTCACGAGGGTCTCTCCAGTCTCTTCCAGCACCTTCCACTGGATTTCTCCAGGGCCCCGGGGGGCGGGAGGGGGCGGGAAGGAAGTGGGTGGGGCTTTGTCAGACGTGGGGCGTGGCCTGCAAGACGTGAGGAGCCGTGGGAAAGCGGTGCCTGGATGGTTGGGGGAGGTAGATCCTCAGGCCCACCCAGCTCCAGACGCAGCCACCACCTCCCCAGACCCAGGGGTCCCGGCCCCCAGCCGCTCCTCCCTCAGGCCCAGGAGTCCGGGCCCCCAGCGCCTCCTCCCTCAGACCCAGGGGTCCGGGCCCCCAGCTCCTCCTCCCTCAGACCCAGGAGTCCGGGCCCCCAGCCCCTCCTCCCTCAGGCCCAGGGGTCCAGGTCCCCAGCCCCTCCTCCCTCAGGCCCAGGGGTCCAGGTCCCCAGCCCTCCTCCCTCAGACCCAAGTCCTGGCCCCCAGCCCCTCCTCCCTCAGGCCCAAGTCCTGGCCCCCAGCCCCTCCTCCCTCAGACCCAGGAGTCCAGGTCCCCAGCCCCTCCTCCCTCAGGCCCAGGAGTCCGGGCCCCCAGCCCTCCTCCCTCAGACCCAAGTCCTGGCCCCCAGCCCCTCCTCCCTCAGGCCCAGGGGTCCGGGCCCCCAGCCCCTCCTCCCTCAGACCCAGGAGTCCAGGCCCCCAGCCCCTCCTCCCTCAGACCCAGGGGTCCGGGCCCCCAGCCCTCCTCTCTCTCCATTTGTATTTCTGTTTTCCTTCTGGTGTCTTTAGGACTAAAGCACATTTAGATAGGGAAATCTGGAGGTCTGGACCCTCCCCAGGGTAGAGGGATTAGTAGTGGGCTGGGAGTTTTAGGGGCTGACTTCCATTTTAGGCTCTGTCTCTGACTTACTTTGTGACCTCAGTTCCTTCTAGTCTATGTTTTGGTTTCCTCAACTGAGAATTGGGGCTGTATTCCCTTCCAGGTTCTTGGGAAGTTTAACGGATACCACGTGGGTAAACACAGAATCGGAACTATAAATTAGTCTCCACAATTGAGAGTTACTTGTCATTATTGCTGGTAGTCATGGCAGGATTTCATTCAGAAGCAATAGTCACTTTTCTATCCATTCATTTAAGAAATACACACTCTGCCCTGGCCGGTTTGGCTCAGCGGTTGGAGCGTCGGCCTGCGGTCCAGAGAGACCCGGGTTCGGTTCCCGCTAAGGGCATGTGCCTCGGTTGCAGTTTGTCCCCGGCCCTGGTTGGTCGTGCGGGTGACAGCCACTCGATGTGTCCCTTCACATGGATGTTTCTCTCTCTCTCTCTTCCTCTCTCTCCCTCCTGCTCTATCTGAACAAAAAAAAAAAAAAATGGAAAAATGTCCTCGAGTGAGGATAAAAAAAAAAAAAAGAAATACACACTCAGTGCCAGCTCTGTGCTAGGCTGGGTCTTGGAGGCAGCCCGGAATAAAGGAAATGCAGCCCCCACTCCCATATGTGTTGAGAGAGCGGGACAAGACACAAACAGTGCATTTCCTAGAAGTACTGCGAAGGTGTGAGGCCAGGGCAAGGGGGCACAGAGGCACAGGGGGCGGTTAATTTAGGTAAGATGGTTACAGAAGGCGCCAGAGGGCCTGGGACTTGAGTATTTCCAGTGGAGGGAACAGCAAATGCAAAGGTTTGAGAGTGGAATTAGCATAGTGTTTGAGGGACTGGGCAGAAATGAGGGATAGGAGACGAGGGATAGGTCTATTTCTTTAAAAAGTAAATTGTTTATTTTGGAATATTTTTATATTTACAGAAAACTTACAAAGATAATACAGAGAGTTCCCATACTCCTCACCTAGCTTCCCTAATGTTAGCTTCTTACATTGTTGTGTAACTTTTGTCTCAAGTAAGAAACCAACATGACTGTTAACTAATGTTTACACAAATGTCCTTTCCTATTTCTGTTTCAGAATCCAGTGCAGGGTTTCATTTGGTCACCACATCTTTGTGTTCTCTGCTCTGCGGCAGTTTGTCTTTCCTTTAAAAAAATTTTTATTTCTTGCCCTGGCCGGTTTGGCTCAGCGGTTAGAGCGTCCGCCTGCGGTCCAGAGAGACCCGGGTTCGGTTCCCGCTAAGGGCATGTACCTCGGTTGCAGTTTGTCCCCGGCCATGGTTGGTCGTGCGGGTGGCAGCCACTCAATGTGTTCCTTTCACATCGATGTTTCCCTCTCTCTTTCTTCCTCTCTCTCCCTCCCACTCTATCTGTACAAAAAATGGAAAAATGTCCTCGGATGAGGATTAAAAAAAGAAAAAAATTTATTTCTTTATTGATTTTAGAGAGAGAGGAAGGGAGAGGGAGAGAGAGAAAGAAACATCTATAAGAGAGAACATGGATTGGCTGCCTCCTGCATGCCCCCTACTGGGCACTGGGCTCACCACCTGGGCATGTGCCCTGACTGGGCATCAAACCGGCGACCTCTTGGTGCAGGGGTCGACACTCAATCACTGAGCCACACTGGCTAGTCTGTCTTTCCTTTTTTGTTCACAATCTTGACAGTTTTGAGAAATATTAGCAGCTATTTTATAAAATAGAGATCTATCTCAATTACCAATTCAGAGAGGATCCAACTGTGGTTAAGTAGGTTGCCCAAGGTCCCGGAGCTAGTAAATGGCACAACAGGAATTTGAACCTGGGGCAACCTGGCCCCAGAGTCTGTGCTTTTAATAGAGACACAAGTAGAAGGCAGACTACCAAGGACCTTGTAGGCTACAGTAAAGACTTTGGGCATTTTCTTTAACTTTGAGAATATTAAGATGACTTTGAACATTTGAAAGCAGAGGTGTGACACATAATTTGATTTATTTATGGTTTCAGACGAGCACTGTGTCAAAGGCTGTGGTTTTGCATAATGTACCCAGGTCACTAGGATTTCTTAACAGACATCCTTGTCTGGGTGCTTTTTCAGGCTTGTAACCAGACTTACTGTTAGCTCTTAACTTCCATATTACTGCCCTAAGCCTCTTATTCCAGAAAACCAAAACCCATCACCCCAGTCAGGAGGAACGGAATGATGGAACCACCCTAACCCACCCCAAACTGCAAACGGTCCCTCGACAAGAAAAACAAGTTTCAGGAGACCCCAGCCCCCGACCAATCACAGACCTGGGAGACCCCAGGCTCAACCAATCAAAGCCAACCACATCTCCTCCACTGAATGACCACCCCCTCAGCCCTGAGTTTAAAAATCCCTAGTCTGTACAATCCGGTTGCTACTCTCTCCTTAGAGGTAGTCCTGCAGGCTGACTCCCAATAAACCTGCACTCCTGGAGACTCTGCACCGCCTTGTTCCGCCTCATTCTTACACTTACAATCTTACATGTATTTTACTCTGTTTAAGCTGCTGCTTCCTCTTTTTTATTGGGTTGTGCGAATTATTCTTAAGTTCACACTAATAAAGAATTCCAGCCCTGGCCGGTTTTGCTCAGTGGTTAGAGCGTTGGCCTGCGGTTCACAGAGACCCGGGTTCGGTTACCCCTAAGGGCATGTACCTCGGTTGCAGTTTGTCCCCGGCCCTGGCTGGGTCGTGTGGGTGGCGGCCACTCGATGTGTCCCTTTCGCATCGATGTTTCTCTCTCTCTCGCCCTCCTGCTCTATCTGAATAAAAAATGGAAAAATGTCCTCGGGTGAGGATAAAAAAAAAAAGGTCCTGTGGGAAGGGCCCTGGAACGGCCCGGGGCAAGATGACAGTAAGTGCGGCCTAAAGTTCCGAGCCCCCAGCCTGGGCTTGCGAGTTTCTGAGCGGCCCCTTGTTCTTCTCTGAAGAAACGGGCGTTTATGAAACCCGGGGAAGTGGTGCTGGTCCTGGCCGGACGCTACTCCGGACGCAAAGCAGTCATCGTCAAGAACATTGATGGTGGCACCTCAGACCGCCCCTACAGCCATGCTCTGGTGGCTGGAATGACCGCTGTCCCCGCAAAGTGACAGCTGCATGGGCAAGAAGAAAATTGCCAAGAGGTCAAAGATCAAGTCTTTTGTGAAAGTTTACAACTACAATCACCTCATGCCCACCAGGTACTCCGTGGATATCCCCTTGGACAAAACTGTCGTCAACAAGGATGTCTTCAGAGACCCTGCTCTGCAACGCAAGGCCAGACAGGAGGCCAAGGTCCAGTTCGAAGAGAGGTACAAGACCGGCAAGAACAAATGGTTCTTCCAGAAGCTGCATTTTTAGATCTTTTTTTGTTTCAATCATTAAAAGTCCAAAAAAGAGCCCTGGCCGGTTTGGCTCAGCGGTTAGAGCGTCGGCCTGCGGTCCGGAGAGACCCGGGTTTGGTTCCCGCTAAGGGCACGTACCTCGGTTGCAGTTTGTCCCCGGCCCTGGTTGGGTCGTGCGGGTGGCAGCCACTCGATGTGTCCCTTTCACGTCGATGTTTCTCTCTCTCTCTCTCCCTCCCACTCTATCTGAACAAAATATGGAAAAAATGTCCTCGGGTGAGGATTAGAAAAAAAAAAAAAAGTCCAAAAAAGAAAAAAAAAGAAAGAATTCCAACACTGAAATAAAAAGAGCACCGCGTCTCCACTTTGGAGAGGGGGCTGTAGTGGGAAGCAGGTGCGGATGCGTGGAGGCCCAGGGAGGAAGCCACTATGGTCCAGGCTAGGGCAGCAGTGACGCCAATGTGGTGCGAATGGGAAGATGGGAATGAATTTGAGAGGCACAGGTGAACCTCGAATAACACGGGTTTGAACTGCGCAGGTCCACTTATATACAGATTTTTTTCAATAAATACATACACTACTGTAAATGTATTTTCTCTCCTTTATGATTTTCTAATAACATTTTCTTCTCTTTAGCTTACTTTATTGTAAGAATACAGTATGTACTACTTATACAAAATATGTGATAATTGTCTATGTTTTCCATAAGGTTCTGGGTCAACAGTAGGCTGTAAATAGTTAACTTTGGGGAAGTCAAAAGTTATACCCAAGAAAAACCTGACTGCACAGAGGTCAGCACCCTTAACACCCACATTGTTCAAGAG